CAGCCACCGCCCTCTCCGTCATCATCCCCAGTGGTGGGTGACTTTGCCCCAAAATGCCCCTTGGGAACCCCAAATACCCTTTGGGACCCCCAAAATCCCATCTGGGACCCCAGAATCTGCCCCTGGGCCCCCAAGTTCCATCCTGGGTCCCCAAATGAACCCTGGGAACTCCCAAATATCCTCAGGGACTCAAAGACCATCTGTGGGACCCGGAATTCCTCCTGGGATCCCTAAATCCAGCTCTGCCCTCCCAACCCCTGGGCCCTTGAGGGTGGCTCCGGGCTCCTCTCCCCGCACGGGCGGTTCCTGGTCCCGGGGCTCCTTGGCGAGGGGCGGGTCCCGAGTGCCTGGGCCCCTGGAGGAGGGTCCTGGACCCCTGGGGGTCCCATGGAGGGATCCTGTGTGTGGGGCGGTCCCCAGACACCTGGGCCCATAGGGTGGTTCCTGGTCCCGGGGTCCCATGGCGGGAGCGGTGGTGGGTGCCGGGTGCCTTGGCAGTTCCTGGCTGGGGGGAGGGGTCGCCGCGGTCGCTGTCATCGGGGCCGTCGTCACGGGACTCGTCCCCGAGCCGGGAGCTGGCGCCGGCCGTGGGCGCCCCCCGCGCGCCTGTCGCCATCGAGCGCGCGGGCAGGAAGTGCGGGTTCACCCTGCGCGCCATCCGGGTGTACCTGGGGGACAGCCACCTGTACAGCGTGCAGCACCTCGTCTGGGTAGGGGACACGGGGGGACACGGGGACATGGAGGGGACATGGGGGACAGCCACCTGTACAGCGTGCAGCACCTCGTCTGGGTAGGGGATGGGGACATGGGGACAGGGCAGGGACATGGGTGACAGCCACCTGTACAGCGTGCAGCACCTCGTCTGGGTAGGGGATGGGGACGTGAGGACAGGGCAGGGACATGGGTGACAGACACCTGTACGGTGCACGGCACCTCGTCTGGGTCAGCAGGACAAGACACACGGGACACAGAGGGACCTGGAGGGAGATGTGACAGGATTTGGGGGCAGGGACATTGGTGACAGTGACATCAACAGTGTGCACCGTGCTGCTAGGAACATGGAGGACACAGGGGACCATAGGGACACATGGACGGGGCTGTGTGACAGGACATGGGGGTGGGGACAGTAACACTACCTACACATGCACCAGATCTTTGGGGGCTGTGGGGCATGGGGGGACACCAGGACATGGGCGAGGGGACATGGGCGGACCCGAGGTCTTGGGGACACAGGTGGGAACATGTGTGGGTGTCACCGCAAGGTGATGCGGGTGAGTGTCACCGCGGGGTGGTGTCACCATGAGGTGGTGTCACCACGGGGGAGGTGACACGATGCGGTGTCCCCATCCTGGTGGTCACGCGGGTGCTGGCAGCATGTGGAGGAGGGCGGCCCAGCGCATGAGGCCGGGCTCTGTGCGGGCGACCTCATCACCCACGTGAACGGGGAGCCCGTGCACGGGCTGGTGCACACGGAGGTCGTGGAGCTCATCCTCAAGGTGGGACCCGTGGGGCCCCTTGGGTGCTGCCAGGAGCCACTGGGTGGTTGTGGGTGTCCTTGGGCAGTGATGGGCGCTGTTGGGAGGTGGTGGGTGTCATTGAGCTGCGGTGGGTGCTGTTGAGTGATGATGGGTGCCGTTGGGTGGTCATGGCTGCTGTTGGGTGGTGGTGGGTGCCATTGTACTGTGGTGGTTGCCATGGGATAGTCGTGGGTGCCGCTGGGTGGTGATGGGCACTGTTGGCTGGTGTTGGGTGCCAACGGGTACTGCTGGGCAACATAGGGCACTCTTGGGTGCTACAGGGCACTGTTGGGTGCCCTTGGGCAACACTGGGTGCGGTTGGGTGGCATTGGGTGCTATGGGATGCCATTGGTGGTGTTGGGCACTGCTGGGTGCCATGGGGTGGTGTTGGGCACTGCTGGATGCTGTTGGGTGCCATTGGATGCTGTGTAGTTTGGGGTATTGGCTGTCACTGTTGGGTGTCATTGGGCACCGTTAGGCGCCATTGGGTGCTGCTGGGTGCCGTTGGTCGCCCTTGGGTGACACGTGGCCGTGGGCAGAGCGGGACGCGGGTGCTGGTGACGACGACGCCCTTTGAGAACACGTCAATCCGCGTGGGCCCCGCGCGCCGCGGGCCCGGCCCCGCCAAGATGGCGCGAAGGAACCGCCGCGCCGGAGCCAAGGAGGGGCAGGAGCGGTGCGGGGGCGGAGCCATGGGAGCGGGGCGGGACTTCGGGGGAGGAGCCACGGGAAGGGGGTGGGGATTCAGATGAGAGGGAGGAGCTGTAGAAACAGGGGTGGGGCTCAGGGAGAGTGGGAGGGGCCATAGTAACAACAGAGCCATGGCAACGGGGGTGAGGCTTCAACAAGAGGGAGGAGCCATGGCAACGGGCACCATGGCAACAGGGCGGGGCTTCAGGGCGGTGAGGTGTGCCATGGAAACAGGGCTGCGTGTGCTGGGAGGAGCCATGGCAACGAGGGAGGAGCTTGGGGAGGGTGGGTGGTGCCATGGCAACGGGGCTGCGGGTGGCAGGAGGAGCCATAGCAACGGGGGCGGGGCTT